GCTGAGGGGCGCCAAAGCCTCTTGGACAGAGCTAGCTCATGTCTGGATTTTTAAAACTAGAAATCATCAAGGAAAAAGCAATCTTTAGTGCATACTTCTCTAAAACATTTGCTATATGCATATCTAAAAGAATTATGAGTATCTTCTCAGTATAATTATTTGTTTTTTCCTATTTATTTGTTCATTTATTCACCATTGATTAATTGATTGATTGATTCATTTATTCATTCATTCACTTTTTGGTGGTAATAAGGACTGAATCCAGAGTCTCAGCACTGAGCTATATCCCAAGCCTTTTTAATTTTTTGAGAAAGGATCTCACTAAAATTGCTAAATTGCTTAGCTTGGGCTTGCACTTGCAATCCTCCTGCCTGAGGCTCCCAGAGTGCTGGGTTAGAGACATTCACCACCACCCTGCTGGAACAATTATTTATTTGTTCCTTTTTTAAAAAAAATTATATTTATTTTTTAAAACCAAAAATCAAACTCAAGACCTTGTGTTGGCCAGGCAAGCACTGTGCCGCTGAGCTGTGATCCCAGCCTTACTTGCTTCTCTTTAATTCACCCATTCCTAAAAAACATTGAACAAAGATTTTTTTCTTTTTTACACTTTAGGGAAGGATCTACAGGGTGTTCAGGGTCTCACTAGTAGATTGGACTCTTAGTGATCTACCTGTTTACAGCCTCCCAAGAGCTGGGATTACAAGCGTGTGCCACCACGTCCAGTCTCAGCGCACCCCAGGCTGGCATAGCAGGCTGGGGATCAAACCCCAGGCCCCTGCACCTGCTTGCAGGCGCTTTAATCTGCTGAGCTATTTGGCTAGCCCTTAAGAAAGAAATTTTAAAAATCCAAGAATTGAAACTTACAAAGCTATTTCTCATGCTCAGCAATTGAATACACACACACACACACACACACACACACACACACACACAGAGGGAGAGGGGAGTAGGAGCTGCAAACATCCACCAGAGGAAACACAAGCCATTAGAAGAGAGTCCTAAGAATGGAAAATTACTCCGTATCTACTGAGGTATCTTGTGAGGTTTATGTCACGATATTTCCCATGTCTATTTTACAAATTAATTTCTGCTGAATGTCAACATCTGTATTGTGATATAAGGTCTAATCACAGAAACATACATCATAAATATATATTGTTTGCATTTAATATTCATACTGTTTCTCTGAAGACCTATTTGGACTAGCTATATTGGCCTGAATTAATATAAAACCAAATATAAAACATACACACACAAAATCCAAAAAGCTGAAAGGGCACACAGTAATAGACTTTTGCTCAGCTTTCTTTAATTTCTGTTGAGAAAGAGAGTCAGTGCTTGTTTGTTTGTCCTGGAAATGTCAACAGTCCACCTGGGCTGTGCTGCCGCCCGGGCTCACTGGGGCTCCTTGTTGTCCACAGCCACCACATCAGGGCTGACCCACTCTTCAGTTTCTTTGAAATTCTACTTTCATCAGCACGTAGATGATCTAAAATTATGCTCGCCCAATAAATACTACTCTGAAATAAACTCAACCTGCCTTTTCCAGCAAGGTATACATAAAGGTTATAGGATGTCCATGGGAAATCTTCAGTTTTCAAGGGAAGAGTTTCACTATTTAGGACATGACTTGAATGTGGAAGCGAGTTCCTCGCCACTTGAGAAGAAAAACTATTCAGTTTGCCCTGGCCTTCAGCCAAAAGACAATTAAAAGGCTTTCTTGAATTTGTAGGACACTGCAGATCCTGGGTCCTGCATTTTTTCCCCTAATGGTCTCACTAAGACATGAGCCTGCTAGAAGTGCCATTCCAGAGCCATGACCTCGGGAAGACAATCATCGGCAAGCTTTAGCTAAAAGAAACTGGCCTTAGAACAGCATTGGAAATTTCAAAATTATGCTAGATCTTTTGCCTTCTTTGTTCATGAGTGTAGCAATCAGGCATTCTGGGTTCTTATCCAAGAATCTTGGGAAAACATAGGCCAGCAGAATATTATAGCTTGCAATTAGATCCAGAAGCTGAGGCATGTCCTAACTGTTTAAAAGCAGTGGCAACAGCAGCCAGGTAGGTATAGGTTTCATCTGAGCTGGTTTTAAGAAAGTACATTTATTGGGAATCCCTCCATGTTGTGGAAAATTTGTTAAATTCCTGTGAATTTAACATTTCTCAGCAAGTAGCCTAAAACACATTAGTGAAATTCTCTTTCTCTTTCTGATGTCTGTCTAAAATGTAATTTGCTACTAGCCTTGCTACTCTACTACTTATACCTGAAGACAATCACGATGGAGTGAGTGTAGGGTCGGAAGCAGCAGCTTGCTTACGTTGATTTGTGAGAGGCTCCATTGGATAGTCAAGGATTCAGTTTCACTGATTGTTGATGAGGATTATGCCAAAAACTCAGAAGTAAAATACGGGTAGGGTCTACTACTACGACCAAGGTGCATCAGACAGAAAAGGGGACCCTTCCCTTGGTCAAGTCAGCTCAGCCTTCAGAGCTGGCCATCACCTGAGCCTGTCATTTACCTAATCAGTAGAAGTGTATACAGGTAGTATATGTGCTTTTGGAGTAGTCAGTCCTTTTGTTATGGAAACTAATACAACTCATTGCTAGTTGTATTCCCCATAAAAAGACTCCATGGAAATTTGCTCCTTTCTGCTGTCCAATTGGCTATCACAAATGGACGATGTGAAGACTGAAGCCCCTAACTGTAATGCCGATCCTGAACATAAAGGAAACTCCCTGGCAAATGTTGACACTAGTGCTATTTCACCCAGGGCCAAAATTCTTAGAATAGGCAGTCTGAGTGAGCTCCATAGTAAGACGCAGGTGAGTTCTCTTCAGTGGCGTATTTAATAATCAGCACAGTGCACCTGACTTGGAAAAACAAAATTAACATCTGACAGGAAAGAATTCAGTGGTGAGTGCGAACTCATAGAGGGCTTAGATAGCTATCTGGCCTTCCTTGAGTCCCCAAGGCTTCTACTGTTAAATGTTCTGTACCCTGCAACTTGTCGCTGCAGAAACCAGGCGATCTAAATTGCTGGGGTGACTGCTCTAAAATGGTAACATGGTTTATAATGATTTTAAGGTTTGCCAAACTACAGTCCCAGGAGAGTGATGATAAATGTTTTAGAGACCGAGTGCCCCAGCTGCATCCCAAAACCCATATATTTATTGCAAAATGCCAACTGCAATTAAATGTGAACATAGAGGTTTTAGTTAGTTTTTTTTCTTTCTTTGTTCTTTTGAACTTAGCCCTGCTCGACCGCTGGGCAGCTTGGCTCTGTGTGCTCACTGCAGCACACGCACCATAGGTTCACCACTACGGGTCTAGGGACATAATCAAACATTAGATGGCATGTTGCACCTAAGATTTTCATCTGGTTTGAAGAAATTAATTTTTTCCCAGTTTTCATTTGTAAACCGACTTTACTCAGTGGTTACTCTCAGTAGGTATCAGTTTGTTTTCTTAACAGTCTGATTATTTTCTGGTTGTAAGGAAGCTTTCTCAATGCAGGGAATGACAGCTAAGAAGCTGTGATGGCAGCTAAGAAGTTATTAGAAATATGTCACTTCTATGGGGCACTCCTGGAGGCATCTCCTGCAACAAAGCAACCCAGGAACTGGACAAACTGTCAAGCCCTGCAGTGGGATGTTACCCACACAATGGCATTATTATTACTCCTGTTGCCCACAGTCTTTTGGAAAGGTTAAAAAGTGAAATTGGCACAGTTAATTGAATCAATTGGATCACCTTCTCCAAAGGTGTAATCATTAACTTTAGTAGCAATCAGATCCATTCCCTGTGGAAAACACAGGCTGACCTTCTTTGAAATATCTATTGCAAAAATTCTTCTCCTGACATGTTGGGACACTGCACATGTTGGAGACCATACGGGAAGGATAGCTAGGGAAGTCTGTAAACCAATAGCTGATGGAAGAAATGTTACATGTGAGTAATTTTCTCAAGATCATGGATGAAGACTTCTCTACCACTATAAAAGCTTTTATCTCCCCCCCTTTCCTATTTTCCTACTATCTTAATGCTTTCTCTTTCCTTACAGAAAAATCCATAGTGCCATACTCTTTACTTCTTCTTCCTCTTTTTTTAAATTTTAGGGAAGGGTCTACAGGGTGTTCAGGGTCTCACTATTAGATCGGACTCATAGTGATCCACCTGTTTACAGCCTTCCAAGAGCTGGGATTATGTGTGTGCCACCACATCCAGTCTCAATTGCTGTCTCAGCATGCCCCGTGGGTGGGGCTGGCAGAGCAGGCCTGGGGATCCAACCCCCAGCTCCTGTGCCTGCTTGCAGACACTTTAATCCACTGAGCTATTTGGCCGGCCTTACTGGCAAGGAATTATGCTGTAGTAAGAAAGCAGAGTAATTGTTAGGCTTGTGGGGGTGGGGGTAATGCCTCCAGAGCAGGAAATAATTGATTTGTATAATGGAGATGTTTATATACACAAGGGACGGAATAAGAAACAATCACATAATTGCTTTAAATTTTCAAAGGAATTTGTAAGCTTACAAGGAGTGGATCTTGAAAAACTGGCAACCTATTAAATAGTGATAGAAAACAAGTAAAGGGTAACTACAGTACACTGTCACAGTGAGCTCAGTGCTGTCAGATAGGACCTATATGCATATAAGATATCCTAAAGGAAGAATGATTGATGCTGACAGCGGTTATGAGTGGAGGCGAGTTAGAAGGTGGTTTTTACCATATGCCTTATGGTTTCTGGGCTGTTTGCAAATTCAGATAAGCATGCATTACTTTAATAATTAGATGGGAAAATAAAGATTCCAAAATATGAGGAAAAGATTCAACAAAGTACATCCTAACACCTCAAAGGACGTAGTAGATTTCTACTACATAGCCAATAACAATGTGCTTTTGTAAATTATGTACTGTCATGAAAATACAACGTAGTAAACTTTCCTAAGCCTATCTTTTCTCCTCCTAACTTAAAATAAATGTCTGATGACTTTAGGTATGTTTAGCTTCAGAAATTTTATTTGAAACAGGTTTCTATACCTTAACATAACATTTCCAGTACTTTTACTAAAAAGTCATTTATCCTGGCCAAATTGTAACAATTAATTTTATAATAAGCTGCAATAAAGTTTTCCTAGCAACAGAAAAAGTACACATTATATACCATTTTGAATTTAATTATTTCTTAAAATAATATAGTGTAAAGTATTAGTTTCACTGAACATTTAGAAGACCTTCTAAGGCAACTACAGAATAATTTACAGTAAAACCTAAGATGAAAATATTTTTTTTTTTGCAGATTAAAAATGGAAAAGTCTAAGAGGCTTACAAATACATTTTTGCAATCTGATAGATTTTAAGGCATTTCAAAAGTTGTCTAGTGAAACTATTACAGAGGACATGTTTGATGTCACTTAAGAAGGCCAACATCAGGCATTGCTTCCTACAGAGAAGATGTGGAAATAATTAATCTGAAATATCCACGAGCACTGTGCTTAGTTGGGTTTCTTCATAAAGATTCTTTTATAACTTGGGCTAATCTCTGGAAGGCCTAAAATAGAAAAGAGATAAGAATTATTAATGAAATTAGGATGCTATTTTAGAAAGTTGATCAAAACTGCAAAAATTCAATCAGTGTTCATCTGAGGTTGCGAGAGAGTTGACTGTCTAACTCTATTCATACAAAAGAGAAAAAAGAACTTACAAAAAGAATGTTTAAGGATACAAGCAAGTAAGTAAAGGAAGAACACATCAAAGTGGCACATCTCCCAAAATAAGACTAAATGTTATTAAAGGTAAATAGGACTGTTTAATTTATAATCCTGCCTTTTGGATTTCCAGATATGTAGAGCACAGGTTCTTGTTCCTTCATGTCTTACTTTTCTCATGGCTGAGACAAAATATACCCAAAGTTAAGGGGAGTAAGTTTCATTGAGCTTACAGTACATAGAGATTCCAGTCCATGTTTGGCTGGCTCTAAGGCAGCATGGAACACGGCAGAAGGCAACAGTTCACGGCAGTGGAAGGTAGAAAAAGCAAGCAAGGGAAGAGCATGGAAAGCCTCTTTTTGTCCCTTATATTGCATCCAGTCCCCCAGGATTAGGGCAGTACCAGTCCAATCCGTGTACTGATCCAGCAGTCACCCACCCTTTACCCCAGCATGCTTAATCCCAACATTGCACTATAAATCAGGCAAACACTCTAGATTCAGTCACCTGAGAAAAAAAGCCCACTTCCTGTGATTGCATGAGACTGGTGGGACATCTAGACACAAACCATAACACTTTGCTGCTTATCATTTTGGTTAAGGTTGGCCTGTGAATAAGACCATTATTGTTTTTGAGTGCAGTGGTTAAACTGAACTGCCAACTTGCCCGGCTCAGGAGCCCCCCAGAGGTTGGAGGCAGGACACTGCTGGGTGAGTCTGGCTGGTTCATGAGGCAGGATCTGGGGGCTATGTCTGCTCCAGTGAGCAACTGCCCCACCATGATGTTTCTGCTTGGAGTCAGCTGACTTCCTGCTAAGTCCTCTGAAACTGAGCAAAGGTAGAGCTTTCCCCTTTAAGTTGTGTGTGCCAACCATTTGGCCCCGGGAATGAAAAGCTGGCCAACACCTTGACTTAGCTGGGGCTTGCTCTCATCAGAGGGACTGCAGTCTACTGGGAGTCTGTGCTCTTCCTTCACATTAATTCACTGAAGGAAGGAAAGAGGTGGCAGTCTTCCACAATGTCTGGTAGGTCCTGAAAAGTTATTATACCCCCCCCCATCAAACTTTGGCTGGTTTCATCTCATTTATCTGCAGAGGTCAAGTAGTGAAGTAAAAGGGGGATATTTCATGAGAGTTCACAATGGTGTATAAATATGTGGTGTTTTGAAACCTAAGAAGTATTAAGTGATGTTTTAGCCTCAGAAGTTAGCACATGCACCAAAACCTGGCCTGAGGCGTTGGTGCTGCTCTGGAGAGAATGCTGTACTCACCACGTCCATGTCTTTTGCAGAAGCCAAGGAGAAGCATGCTCTGAAGTAAGGGCTCGGAGCTGAGCTATCGGTATAGAAAGCACTCCCAGGAACCAGTAAAACCTGAGAGGTGGTGAAAAGTAAGTGATGTTGCCACTGAAGAATAACTAAAACACAGGCAGACCTAACCTCAGCGTGAGAGGGATGTTCTAAGCTTAAAACCAGTTAATGAATTGATACACATACACAAAAAGTTGATGTAAAATTGTGTGCCACTCAACAAGACTAGTTGGATAGACACTGGTGAAAGCCTTTCCTTCTTTAAAGAATGAATAGAACTGAAAAGAAACACTAAAATGTACAAAGGATACCTTAGGAAAGGAACAGAAACAGGAATAAATACAAATAATCTAACTGGATAAATAAATAAATGTGAGGACATGCAAAGTTAACAAATTTGATAGTTAATTTTAAGCTGGAATCTTTAGGATAAGTAGGGATAGGCCTAGGAAAAGTGGAACGAATTATTTTAGATAGGAGTGTGTGAGATGAGAAGAAAATGGTGAATTAAAAGAATGAGAGGGTGTGAAAAGCAATACATAAAGTGAAGGACTAAAAAAATGCATGTTAATTAAGTGTGTTAAGGTGGAAAGGGGCCGGGGAGATGGCTCACTAGAATAAGCACCTGCCTAGCAAGTGCAGGGTCCTGAGTTCAATCCCCGGTACTG